TCCTCGCCTTTGCTGAGTCTTCAATCTTCTGCTCCAGCTACAATGCGCCTCTTAACTCCCAACTGCTCTCCGCTGCTGTTTCTGAGTAGTCGATCCTTTGATCCGCCATGCTGTTTCAACTCACCAATGACTCTAACTCTGGTGTGGAGTTGGCTGAGTTGTGTTGATCATTGTTGATTCCTACGGATCCCCCATATGAAGGAAAAGACCATCCTTACTGCGCTAGTCTCTCAAATTCCTCATGTTGCTTGAACTTGGTGGATGCTTGTTGGAGCTTTTAACGAGCATCGTCTCGCAAACTGCTAAAGTTTTGGGTCCTTCCTCCACAAAATTTGCTCATTGACTCTTCTTTCACTTAGTTGTCACATCCAAGTAGGTTCGCATCACTTTCGCTTTCGATTGGCATTTCGTTGGGAAATGAAGCGGACAATCTACTCTCAATAGCACTGATCACCGTTGGTGAAGATTTGACAACTATTATCTTCCATTATCTTCGAAGGGTCTTTGAACTTGTGCAGAGCTCCTCTGCTGGATAACTAAGAGAATTGGGGTACTCGGTTTTGCCCATTCTCTTTAAGGGTTGAGAAGGCAAAGATTACTTGACTTCGCTCGCCTCCTCGAGGTTGTACTCCATGCATCGAGCTGGTTACTAGCCTTCCCCTGCTCTTTGCTCACACTTCTGAAGCACTTGAAGTGTTTGCACTCATTGCGTTGAGTTAGTTACTGTGATTCACCTTCTCAATGCCATCAAACTTATGGAATGCAGGAAGTTTTCACCCCAACTTGGAGTAATTCTCTCATAGGTTTGATCGCCTCTGGGATTGTACCATCTTCTCCATCAACCCTGTCGCCTACTCCACTGAGTAACAAAGGTACAGCACCGCGTACTGCCTGCTTCGTTCCTTGGTTATGCACTCTTGCATGACCCGAAGTCCTTCACTTTCAACTATCTTGATGAGAAGCTCATTGACACTGGTCTTACGAAGTTCCTCGGCCTCTGCCCTTCAGCCTTGTCTCGGTACTTGGAGATTGCCTCTGCATGCTCCACCTCCTGGCCCCTTTCACGACCAAGCGCTCTCCCTCCATAAGAGCAAGTGATCAATGACTTTCACGGAAGTCCCACCTCTGCGGTACCATGGCGCTGCCATGCCCATGGCCCTACTATCCGTCGCCTCGCATCTGCATCTTTTTTCTTCATGATCAGTAGAAATGTCTCTGCGGCACTCCTCTGAGTCCACCTCTATTCTAACTGATGCTTGATTTTGGTTAGCTAAGTCCCTCTGGACTCGTCGTCGCTTCCTCGCCCCTTTCGACCCCCTGCTTCAACACCTCTGTATTCTCCAAGCAGTCTGTTTGGTCGATGGCAAGACAATATGCAACTCCCATGCATGGCCTCTGCCATCATGTTGTAGGGTTTGCACCGATTCTGTTCTCCTTAGCTTCCTTGGTAGCAACGTTCGCTTACTCGGTCTTGTCCTCTGACTTGTCGGGCTCCCTTAAGCGAATATGAGCTCTGGAGCAGTCCAACTCTCCAGTTGCTTCGATCATACCTCTGCATGATCAAGTCCCTCCCATGGGACTCACTGGTACTTGCATTCGAACTTTTCCCTTGGTGGAACCCAGCCCCCATATGCTGATGACCAAGGCTTTCATCCGATGCAAAATTCGATGCACGCACAGAAGACCCGCCTCTGCGGTACCATGACCTTCACTCCTTGAATTCATAGCCCTTCTTGTCGTCGTGTTGTTCACAGAAGTGGAGCTTCCAGTAGCTCCCGATCATACCTCCATATGATTTAGTCCCTCCCGGGACTCTGTCGTGTGTATTGCATTGTCGCGAACTGTTCCACCACGATCCGCTGCACCATGTCGCCTCTTGGTGACATCTCTATTGCATTCTGATCCTTGTGGAATAAACTCGAATTGTGAACCCTCCATATGTGGCCTCTGCCAATACATCGCAGGGTCTCTTCCACCTTCGATTTTGTTCGCTCCTTTGGCAATCGACCTTCATCCACCCACTCTTGGGTCACACCTAGATGAAGCACCACTCTAGGACAGTCCGTCGCCTAGTAGCTCCCGAAGCACCATTGTCTGGATCCTGGGCCTCTGCCCCTACCAGCACAATCTCCGCTGCGCACCACTTCCTTCATGGCAACTTGAATGGCAACATTGTGGCATATTCCTCAAGAGTACCCACCTTTGAGTCCTCTTGCCTCATGCTAAGGCCTTCTAAACCCAATTTCACCTTCGCAAATTGAGTCGCCTTAGTTCCTCCATCAAATGCTTCTCCGAGATAAGGTGCATGTGCCCAGAAGCTCCCTTCGTCTTCGGCACCATGCAAGATGAGTCCGCTCCATCAGAATGAAGGACCCATGGAACAACATGATTCTACTCTTGCCTCTGCAAGAGTTCATGTCCTTGACCTCTATCTAAGGAAAGCACTGTGCCTCCGCTTCATGTTCCAACTTCTATGCTGGCTCCCTTCATGTGGCTTGGGTACTTCGCCAAGTTACACCCAAGTTGCTCCGCTCCTCGTTTTTGCATTGAGTCAATGGTGGCCCTCGCGCCCACCATTCCACGGGTCAGCCCTCCCTTGAGTCCGATCTCCACTTCGACTCCAAGTGTGTCTTCATTTAAGTTGCTTTGAGTCGCTCCCCCACTTGATCTCGCAATGCATCCACCAATGCATTCTCTCAAGCGAGATCATGCGACGACTCCTCGCCGCTTGCTCGATCCATTGAGCTTCGTGGAGTTGTTGTTTGTTGAGGTACTCCTCAACATGTGTGGTCCATCGCACATGACTCTCCCTCTGGAGAGCTGGGACTTATCCCTCCTGGATAACTGTCTCATTAGAGCAACATCTCTCTTCGTTTCGAAGACCACCATCCCCTTGGACTACTCCGATCTGCTGAACAAACTGTGCATTGTTCTGCCTCCTGCAAACGCACTTGCTAGATTGCGACTCCACGTCAATACAGCCCCCGCTGCACCACTCAATGCCTAGCAACATGCTAAACTCATTGCACACTTCAGCCTCCTACGGACGTATCCTTCACATGCCGAAAAGAAAGTTTTAATGCTCCATGGCGCCGAGTTTCGGTCGCCTTGGGATGGCTACAAACATTCCATCGTCCGCATACAAGCCCATGCATGAGTACCAAATTCTTCGAGTTAGCAATTCCCCTCACCTCTGTGAGCTTTGCAGAACTCTTTTGGTCGTTGAACAACTCATTCCACCTTGCATGGTCTCATCCTTTACCAAGCACCTCGCTTGGCTTGAGCATCAACAAGTATAATTGTTAACGTTGAGCCGTAGCTCAAACTCAGCCATCCCAACCTTTGTGCGCTCCAAATTCTTCCAAGCTTGCCTGTTCTCATGGTGCCTCTTGTGCGAAGGGTTGACCATTCCTCTAAATGCCAATGTTAGATGCCCGCTCCCCCGAGCGACTCCTTTTCCCTATATCTCCATGCTCGTTTTCCCCCAAACGATCGTGCGTGTGCTGACTGCCCTCAACGCAGCCCCGCTAGGTCCCCCACGTTTGCATGCTAAGTATTTCTATAAGTGCTTGTCCCGCTCTGATACCATCTGTCACGGACTTAGCTGGTTTTACCTAAGTCGTGCGGTACCATTGCGTGTCCATCCGCAAAGGTCAGCCTCCCCGAAGTCTCCCATGTCCCTTAGGACCCACGAAAGAGAGAGAACGGGTTAGAGAAAACGCCTCAATCGGGATCCACAAGCAAACATTTCCGAAAAACACTTCATAGACAATGCAAATTACAAACAGACTTTACAAGCTCTGAACAGTGGCACAACAAAGGGTAAAATGGTCCATTACAGACCGAAAATCTCTCGCACGTGTCCACATGACACAACCTTTATTTACAAGCCTAAAGAGGCCACCAACCCAACTAAAATGGGACTATTAAGCCTTTGGCCACCCCTCTACATGCTGTACAAGGCATGAACATGCCAAAATATACGGACATACATAAGCATTACATCAAACATCTTGTTTAGAAGTTTATCCGTGACAGTATAGTGAAACTATCATGTGAACCCCCCACTCGATCCAACTTGCCTCCCTCGCGTCCCTACAACCTCTTCACCGGGCCAAAAGCAAATAGATAGCTAGAGAGGAGGAGGCATGAAACCTCCGTCGAGTCTTCACCACCTACACCATGCTCCCCCATGAACCTCATGAGGTGTAGTGTACATTCATGATTTCGGTCCTCGCAATAAATTTCAACTGCAACATGCTTACCAGATTTATAGTCAATAAAAGCCCTTGAGACCTCCTACGGATCGATCACCACTCATCGCAGCCTCCTCTGTTCTCTCGTTGGATAAAACCACGATCGGTTCTGTGTAGCCGTGTCTCCTGCCAAATAGCTTAGCCATGGAAGGTGGTTGTGTCGAAGAGGTATCGAGCGACTCGGAGAAGCGGCTGCAGGTGGCGCCGCAGCATTTTGTGACCGAGGTCCTACAGCGCATGGGCAGCGGCGTCAGCGTGGTGCTCGACCCCACTCCGGAGGGCGGGATGAAGGCTGAGTCCAGGAAGCTGCCATCGTCTCGGTACAAGGGCGTCGTCCCCCAGCTGAATGGCCGGTGGGGCGCCCAGATCTACGAGAGGACCCGGCGGGTGTGGCTCGGCACCTTCAGCGACGAGGCGGAGGCTGCAAGGGCCTACGACGTCGCCGCGCAGCGGTTCCGCGGCCAGGACGCGACCACCAACTTCCATCCCCTGTCGGAGACCCACGACGACGAGGCGGCCGAGCTTACCTTCCTCTTGGCGCACTCCAAGGCGGAGATCGTGGACATGCTGCGCAAGCATACGTACGGCGAAGAACTGGAGCAGAGCAAGCGAGACGCACGGGATGGCCGGGGCGCCATTGCAGGCAAGAGGAGGACGCCGAACGACCTGCGATCGGTTCGCGACCTTCTGTTCGAAAAGGTGGTGACGCCGAGCGACGTCGGGAAGCTGAACAGGCTCGTGATACCGAAGCATCACGCCGAGAAGCACTTCCCATCGAAGAGCAGCAGCAGCATGGCGTGCAAGGGCGTGCTGTTCAACTACGAGGACGCCGGTGGCAAGGTTTGGAGGTTTCGGTACTCGTACTGGAAGAGCAGCCAGAGCTACGTGCTAACGAAAGGGTGGAGCCGGTTTGTGAAGGAGAAGAACCTAAAGGCCGGGGATGTGGTTAGCTTCTGGCGATCCACCGGGCCGGAGAAGCGGATGTACATCGACCGGAGGGCCGGGGGAGTCGTGTGCGATCGCAGCGCGCCACCCGCCATCGGGCAGCTTCCCGTGGTCAAGCTGTTCGGTGTGGACATATCAGAATTGCCAGCGAGCGGCGGCGATGCCAAAAGAGGAAGAGAGATGGAATTGTTTCCACCATCACAGTTCTTCGAGAGGCAATTCATAGAAGCTTTGTAAATCCGTCGATGCTTTTCGTTTTCTTCTTTCTGTTCTGATCCCTTTTGCTATTGGTTTCATGAAGTGTGCTTGTAAAGCAGACACCACAGGAAGAAACCATGTATGTCGTGTGCTACTTGTTGTTGTATCAGTAAAGTTGGGTAGGTTTCATTAGCTAATAGGCAATTCATATGAAGTTTCTTATGTGGACATCTGTTAGTATAAATCAACGAGTTGGAAAAGCAGAAGTGGAGTTATAGATACTGTGTTGTCATGCAGCTATAGATCAAGTACAAAGCATCATGCCGATATGTGTTGTCACATATATGGATTATTGCGTTGCGTCTTTATCGGCCTACAAGACACAGTGCCTTCACTCTCAAAACAGTAGTATGATCGAAACCAATCAAATCAAGCCGACCATGACAGCCGATGCTTCGTGCGTCGACTTCTGTCATTCTTCGACTATTATTAGGCAATAGGGTATCGGTTAGGCGGTCCGAGTTCTTGTTCTTCTTCCTACCATCGACTATTATGGAACCGGCAGTGCCGTCGATGGCCAAACGCTCGCCTGATGCAGATGTTTCTGCTTTCATTAATGATTTATTCGACCTTCCAAGAAAACACATTATTCCAGTCAAAGGATTCATTCTCATTAACGACGTATGCTTTGTTTATTGCTTGGTCCGCTGTGTTCCACCAGGACTGTATCTACTTGGATTAAAATACCTACGATTGATTATTCGTGAGCACGTGCTAAAATGGTGGTGTCAGCTCGCTTCGACCATTGCTGTGGTTCCCAGCTTGAAAGCTGCGTCTGGTTGTGCGGCAACTTGCGGAATGGAGTGGAACACGATGAGCAAACGGACTAAAGATTAGCTTGATCTGGTCAGAAGAAGGTAGTAGGTGAGAAGGCGATTCACAGAGTGTCGGATTTGGTTCTCGTTGTTTGATACAAAGAACGCAAAAGCTATGGCTGGTGTTCTTGCACGTAGACGAGGCAAAGTGTGAAGCTTAAGCAAGCTGGTTTTGGATGGTAGGATATATTATTTGTGAAGGTGCTATGGGGACTGCAAATCTTGGAGACCCCTCTGATGTTTCTTCTTCCTAAGACTCATCTCAAAGTCTCCATGTCCTGGCTTATAGGGTTTTGACGAAGCTGAGTTGGAAGGCCATCTCAGGTCAAAAGGAGTACATTATGCACCTATTCGCAGTCACGTGGGTCGGTACGGATCCTATCCGGAAACCGTAAGATTGTTTGAGTGGGTGAGAGAGTGACGTCGGATCGAGGGCACAATTCCGAGGTGGGGTGAGTTGTGCTCGATCTAAGTCGTGGTCCTGGTCGACTTCAGATTATTATATTAATAGATAAAAATGTGTGAAAAATCAATCTTCTATTTTGAGATAGGAAATCAATATTTATATATATGGGGATGATTTGAGAGTACGACATGTTGGTACCTCATGTTGGTGAACATATATGTTGTGGTTGGTGAGTCAACACGGTTTGGTCCACGAGCCGATGTCGATAGTCTTCGACCGATGAGATGGTTACCGAAGTTGATCACGTCCTCGGGTCGGGGCGCTGGCAGCCATCCGCTGACGTCTCTCGATCGGGATGACGATGGTAGCCTGATGACCTCCGCTTTCCTTCACAGAAGACCCTCGTCGGTTGGTTATCGATGTTGGCCCCTCTGACGATCAAGTCAGTGCTTGGGGTGGGGTGTTTGTTTTTTACCTCTCCTTGGCCAAATGTCGGCTAAGGGTTTTTATATCATTGCACAAGGGTTGATCATACGCAGGCTTGGCATGCCAGCCGATCCTCAAGGGACGTGTTGATACCTTTGTGCAGTCGTCGCCTCGGGATGCGTGAGGCGATGCCAAGTGACTATCGTACGTAGGTTTGGCATACCAACCGATTCTCGAGGGGCGTGTCGAGGAACACTTTCATACAGGTTCCGACTTGACACGTGAGAAGGGTATGTGTCGACGGTGACGTGACTGAGACTCAAAATATACCTTATCATCTCATATGGACGATCGACCCATACATCCACTGGGTCAGTCTATCTGGATTCCTATGGCGTGGTATCAACTCATACAGTCCCGTGTGACGTACAGTCGACTAGAGGGACGTCACTTACCATGTCAAACTTCCTTGTTGGTCAAACATCGGATTGTGTTCCACGTCAGCTGCCAATTGACTATCCGGAGTTGATGCTAGAATATTTTTTATTAATGATCATTTTGAATAATACATAATCTATATATCTAACATTATGAAATCAAAGATGAGAGTGCATGAATATGAATATGAAGAGGCTGTCGACTCCTATGAATTAAGTTTCGTTGATAAGCACGGAATAGCGTCAGTATCCATTTCTTAAAGTGTCGATGTGATTTATCAGAAAGGTGATTTAGACCTTTTAATTATCGATGTGATTGATATATTGTTTAATCATCTCAAGTATTTCTATTAGCTTCATAATTTTGTGGATTTGTATATTTACCCTCCCAAAGTTTCAGAGTAGCATATTCACCCCTACAAAAATTAATATAGCATATATGGCCTTGTTAACATCCAATCAGAGGATTATGATTAACTACTAACAATCATTCCAAGATGTGCTTTAAATTCTTACAAGTGCCTATGTGCAAGGTTTTCAACTTTGTAAGAATATGTATGCTTAACTTAAACTTAGATTACTAATAATATATAGCAGCGATTTGGAGGGATATAAACCACATATATATTAGTAGTATGTAAGATGAGTGATTTTGTTAGTTATGCCTCTAAATATAAGTTTTAACATATACTATGTAAAATTTATAAACTGATTAACATTATTATAAACATTATTCAGAAATGCATGGCAGGATTAAGCTTGAGATTTTAATAGAAGTGATAATAATTACATCATGGACTTTTTTGATAAGCTCTTCTAATTTAGTTTATCAATGTTAGTATGATAGATAGAACTTTTGTATCGTATGTCATGTTATTGTAGAATTGATCTCAATGTTAGATTGTATGATTCTATCTAATTATGTAAGATTATAGATTTAATTAGATTTTAATTATAGTAAAAAAATCTTAATTATAGTAAAATTATTTATGAAATAACAGGCTCTCATAATTATTATATTAGATCTTTTGTTTTTTTCTATAAAAATATATGACCTTTTAAGAAAGAATTATCAGTTAGATCTATTCTTAATCTACCTTAGACTCTAATCCATAATATTATTATATAAAAAAGAGAAAGATAATAGAATATAAGTTTAGTTCTCTTTATCGATCGATATTGCTATAACCTTCGAATCCGATGATGATGGTGCTCACCTATAGATCAGATAAGAATCTTTTGAATGATATTGAAATGTAAATATAATAAATTTGATCTATCGATTTTAATTTTAATATTAAGATTTTTCATTTAACATTAGCATACTTGGTTACACTTGCCATTAATTTCATGCTCTCCTTCCTAATGTTTCCGAAGTTACAGCGGGAAGTTTTACCTCTGAAGTAGAGTTCGAAGCCGAAAGAATGCTCGATAGTGACCCAAAGCCATCAGTCTTCAGCTCCATCCGACCTTCTGCCAAGGATGAAAGCGTGTAGAAAAAGCATCTGAAAATTCTATAATACTGGTTGTATACGTAAAGTAGTCTGCTCTCCCTTAACTGTAGTTGCGTTTCTTAACAGCTTTCCTGCATGTTTTCAACGAATCAGTAAGTTGGAAGCTGAAACAACGAAGAACGTTTCAGGATTCCTCAGAAGATGTGTCGAACCAGCTGAACACTACTGACTTGCAAGCGTTACAGATCTTAGCAGTGCGTTAAAATCTCAACCACTGGGAAATGCTTGGTAGATGAACTCAATGATCTTTTGTGTTTTTCATTAAGCGACATCCATCTGTAAACTTACAACACATGAGTAAGACAAGCATACATCGAGTACATTTTATTTCGGACAACAAATTAAGGCAATGAGAAGCAATCGACAAAACTGAGATGCCGTAAAAAAATCTCGCTGTAGAGTCAGTCAGAAGGGAGGCGAAGCGGTGGTGGTTTGGGAAGACGCAGAGGTGGTAGGGGACGCAGAGTCGTCATCCCCCATGCTGTTCACATCTTCACTGCATCTTCCTCCCGAGTTTGATGGCCTTATGCCGGATCTCGGCCGCTGTTGAGATCTCAAGCCCGATGGCCGAGATGCCACAGGGGCGTAGATCCCGTTAGGAGGAGCACAAGCACCATTTCCGCCGGGTGGTGATGCAGGCGGAACCACAAGTCCACCCACCAACACAAACTGAGGCCTGCTGCTGCTGCTCTGGTCTGCGGGGTTCGGTCGCCTTGTGTGCAGCCGATATTTCTGACCAAAATACCAACTCTTTATGCATCTCGAACATGAAGGAAAATTGTAAAGCACGCAGGCATGCATGAACAGAGAACGTTAGGTTGGAGAGAACAGAAGAGGCTCGAGCCCCGGAACGTTTGTTGTCGAGTGTTGGGAGATCACCGCAGATGGATGCAGGGAATCTCCGGCAATCAAAGGTCGAGTGGTTTAAGCAATCGCAGGGGTCCACCAAGATATTACGAGTAATGCAGCTTATTGGTCTGGAATCCAATCGGAAGGAAAAATAGGACTCGATCTTGTCATGTTTGGTCACGTTGTAGGTTTATAATACGTAGCAGACAGACTACATGCGATGATATCAGGATTGAGATCTTGAATACACATCTAATCCATGGCGGAGAACGAAGTGAAGGAGAGCATAGAACGAGAAGCGAATCGGGTGGCAGGAATCCGGTGCTTTGCGGGTGCACTAAGAAATCCAGATGCGCGTAATGCGTGTTGATCATTTCGTTCATTTTCTTCTTGTCTTTTTTGTGATTCACGCTACCATACACGAAAGCGAGTGCGATGATTAAGATGAAGAAGGAAACCGACCTGCAAATGGCTCTTCACCTCGTCGTTGGTGAGGCCGTCCACCTCCATCATCTCCCTGATCTGCTTCGGCGTCGCCACTGCGATCCACGAGATCTACTATTAGAGACGAGGCACGTAAACGACCAAGATTCGAGTGATGAGATGGACGATTATACCATGGGATCCACCGAGCCGCTCGAGGGCATGCAGGAAGAGGCGGTGGAGCTCCGGCGACCAGCAACGCCTCGCCTTCCGATGAACCGGCGACTGCTCCTCCTTCTTCTCCATCTCACCTCCTCTGCTGCTATCACCACCACCACGGCTCGTGGTGAAGTTCGAAGCTGCCGCCGTTGCAGCCGGTGGTGTCGTGGCGTGTTTCTCTCTCTCGAAAGGCTGGAATGCGCCGCCAGTCTTCTTCAAACTCACGGCCATCGGCTTCTTCGGCGGTTCCTGTAATCCAAGAAGCAGATCAGAGTTCGTCGAGAAAACCAATATCAATCGACTCCTTAAAAGGACACAACAATTCAGCATCTCACCACTTTAAGAACAGTGTCCGGCTGCTGATCCCAGAGCTGGACGGATCTAAGCCAATCCGGCTTCGTCTCCAACCTCCCCACCATCGCAGCCTTCTTAGCCTCGCCGCTACCTTCCGACGATGTCGAAGCCAAGCTGGGCTTCAGAGGGATAAACTCTTCCAAGACAGGCGCATCGTTCACACTCTCGTCATCGCCCATCTGCTCCCTCACGCACTCGATCGCTGCAACACCACAACCACCGTTTCAGCGACCGAAACCCAGAGACCGACCATGCCCCCCCGTTACATAACAGGGAATCCAGTTCGGAACAGAGGCAGACACCTCGGGTGACGAGCTGAAGACAAAGAGGCAGCTCCCTCTGAAAGGCCTCGATCTTCCTGCGCTCCTCCTCCAGCGCTCTGATGCAGTCGTGACATCGCTGCTCTCGCCCCGAGTGATCCACCATCGTCTGACGGTGCTTGAAGCACGACAAATGGGAGCGATTGGATGGATGGCTATCAAAGAGGAGAAGCCTTGGAAGACAAGGAAGGAAGGAAGGAATCACTCCCGGTCGGGGCGTCGCGTAGAAAAATTCCGAATCTTTCAGATGGAGGCGGTGCGAGATCGGAGAGGGTGATACGTAAAAGAATCGGAAATCACGTGTGGGCGCCGCGTTGGCGCTGACAGCAGCAGCCGGTCGAGTTGATAAGATCGAAGGATCGAGAGGTCAGATCTCGCTCGCGAGGCCCGTGGACGGATGAGATCGGCTTCGGCGGGAGGAATCTTCTGCGGGACGACGGGTTCCGGAGATTCACGAGAACTCTGGTCCCGTCTTAATTCCACAATTGATTTGACGGTTTCTGGATGGCGTGTTGCTTTTGCCCCCCTCCCTTTTTTCTTGCAAGACGCGATTCTTCTTGACGATAGCGCATTATTCCAATCTCTACATTTACTCTCGCGACAAGCGAGTAAACAGTCAAAGTCAAAGTCAAACGGTAAAATCATTTTACTTCGGAAAGTTCAATGTCCAACGAGAAGTCAAGCATTGTTTTAGTTCGAAGCCTTTCTTTCTTTTTATTTTCCCTTTTTCCCAAACGGCAAGTGGTAAAATATAATAAATACAAAGTAAGCTCGTTAGGTCGGAGGAGAAGAAAACGTGAGTTTCACGTGTCTTTGCGAGGTCGTGGTGAAGCGTTAATTGTGTCCAACGAGTGAGGGTACTATAGTCATTATGATCTCAATCCATCGAAACCCTAGAGCTCGCCGCATGGCTCCTCCTATATGACTCGCGCTTCCCGAGTCACCCATTCTCCTATTCCGAATCCCATCGCCTCCTGTTACTGCCCGTAACCGCCCCCGGCGCCGGCCACTATGAAGTACAACCCGCGCGTGTCGAGCTCCCGGAGGAAGTGCCGGAAGGCGCACTTCACAGCGCCGTCGAGCGTTCGGCGGGTGCTGATGAGCGCGCCGCTGTCGGCCGACCTCCGGAACAAGTACAACGTGCGGTCGGTGCCGGTGCGCAAAGACGATGAGGTGCAGGTGGTGCGCGGAACCTACAAGGGCCGCGAGGGCAAGGTCGTACAGGTCTACCGACGGAAGTGGGTCATCCACGTCGAGCGTATCACCCGCGAGAAGGTGAATGGCTCCACCGTCAACGTCGGCGTCAACCCGTCCAAGGTCGTCATCACAAAGCTTAAGCTCGACAAGGACCGCAAGGCCCTCCTCGATCGCAAGGCCCGTGGACGCGCCGCGGACAAGGCCAAGGGCAAGTTCTCTGCGGACGAGGTCGCCGCCGCCGCCGCCGCCGCCGCCGCCACTGCCGGTGCGCCCTCTCTCCAAGAAATCGACTGATCTCTCCGATCATCTGTCAGAGCCACTCTTAGCTTTCGTTGATTCGTTGGAGATCTTCAGGATTTTGATTTTGGGAGGAACAAGTTTCGTACCGTGTATCGTTTCTGCCCGAAGATGGGATTAAGCTAATGCTTTGCAATTATGGATTTTACTGTAGGATTAATTCCCATTTTAATGTGTCATTTTCTCTCGTCAGAATCCTCGTGAATCTTATTTGATGATGGATCAGAATAACTGAAATGCGAGTAAGATGTGGTTCGTTATGGATCAGACATTTCTACAAATGGCTAAAGGGCTCCATACTATTTAGGCTTTAAACCTTTACGGCCTTCCAATCGTACCTTTGCCTGCCTATATTCGTCACTGCTGGAAGGAGCGACGGACCAAAGGAAGACAAGTCCTTGTGGTGTCGGAGACTTGACTCTATCGTTCGAGTCACAAGATGGCATCTACAAGAGACAACAACGATTTAAGCCAGTAAAGACAACTGTAATTAGTTCCTATACACAGATCAAGAAACCGATCATACGTTATGCAAAAAGAAAACGAAAATGACTCTACGAAAGAATAATGCTGTCTTAAGTGTCTTACTGCTAGGAATGACACCATCAAAACACACTAGATTTCCAACCAAAATCCAGGCAGATTGCACAGAGAGCCTTCTATAAAGAAAGCAAATTCTGGAACAGTTAATCAACTAATAATGTCTCCGTCCAGCTTGGGGAAACTGGTATTGACAAAATGTTAGTATCCAGAGTCCAAAGCTGGTAAATGCAAACCTCGAACATGTTCTTCTGCCCTGAGCTCGCATCATCCTCAACTCCGCCTTTGCATCACACAAAGAAAATGGCATTCGGTATGATCTCATTAAGAAACACAACCAAGATAAGCAAACAGGAGATTATTCTAATAAAAGTTTACATCAAACGAGCTAAGGTTTGTATCAAGTAGTTCGATAAAAATTTATTCTAATACAATACCATATCAACAAGACAGTTCTTAGCTCTCATAGCAAGATAATATGGCGCCAGGAATTGAGGACGAATCCTGAAACCATTGAGTGGATAATTGCAAAGCAGACACCTATACTCTTTGTTCCTATCACAACAGACGCTCATGCAACACGACACTAAACAACACATAAGATAAGATAATCCAAACAGCGTGGTTCATACGTAATAAGACTGTCTTAGATATCAAGAGCTTACTCCACATCCCTTCAACTCTATATAAAGGTCTCCCCTTTTCATCTTTAGAAGGGTTCTGACTTGTGGTCATGATGTTCTGGATGTGTTTGAATCCCCAAGAGCTGCAGCATCAGGAATCGTAGTTGTGGAGCTCACCGTCTGATACTGTGGCGACAATGCAGCTTGTGAAGAGACCTGAGAATAGTACATCTGGGGATGGACAGGACCCGCGGCAGCTTCATAACCAAAGTTAGCCATTGTTGCAGGGGTCTGAGACAGGTGGGGATGTTGTATCACATTATACCCTGTTCCGGCATAGGGGTGGGTTTGATTGGCGGCTACACGGATTAGCTGTGGCTGCATTGCAGCAGGTGCAGGTGCTGTGGCCGCTGTCTTATAGTAGCTCGTTAAGTCAGGCTTTGTCACGATTCCGGAAGCCGGCGCAGCGGTTGATGATATATAATTGGGATCCATTAAATTGGGCTGAACTGTTCCCAAAGTGTATGGCGAGGTATGGCGGACAGGCATGTAGTACATTGGAATCTGAGGATCGATTTGATAGGTTTGTGGCGATTGCTGCATCGAATGGGCCGCAATAGAGTAGTAGGAAGGCATGGGAACGACTGTACCTGCCGCCGGGTGGTGGTGGATGTAGTGGGGGTTCGCCGAGGTGAGCTGTGGTTGCTGTTGTTGATTAAGGTGGGGATGGGATTGTTGCTGCTGTAGTTGCTCTAGCTGCGGTGAGGCCATTACGTAACCTGAAGCATCCCTGACCGGTGATGGACCACGATACATAGCATCAGAGCTTGGATTCAGGTACGTCGGCCTAGAAGACGAGATCAAAGTAAAATTTTGGCAAAATTCACCAATTTTTTATGTAGGGGAAGTTGAAGGACAAGAAAGATGGTACCTTGACACTGGATCAGGTGTTGGGGCATCGACCTGAGTAGGTTCTGTAGCTTGCGATGGCCTAAGGACACCGCCGTGGTCTGACCTGTCGTCGTCTGAGAAGTCTCTGTTGAGATTTTCGATTGGGGACGTGGTAGAACTGGGAGGGGAAGCAGTCGGAAGAGGGATGGGAGGAGGGGGCTGGTGGTGGTGAGCGTATCTTGGCTCTTTGAAACCCTCGTCGGGCCTGGTGGCGGAGTCGGGTGAGAGACCCATGTGGGCGAAGTGGTCGTCGATACCGCTGATACGTTGCTCGGCGGCAGCACGACCATCGGTGGGAACGGGGATGGGTGGGAGATTCGAAAGGGATGGAGCCGACGAGGTGGACCCGAAGGAGGAAGCCTGATCGAGCATCGGCGAACCGGGGACGTCCTGGCCATGTCGAACGAGCTTGCCGGAAGAGTCGGGGCGGGGGAGGACGAGCTGCTCGGCCTCCGAGTGGCCGCCGCCGCCGCCGCCGCCGCTCCGGGAGTGGACGGAGGAGTCGTCCTCGAGGCCAAGCAGGCAGTTTACAGAGGCTGAGTCGGTGGAGAGAGCGTCCACGCCCATGCCGCCGATAGCGCTATTGAGGGCGTCCACGAACCAAGTCTCCGACTTCGAGTCGTCCAAGAGTGACCCGATAGCGGAAGAAGGCGCCGAATCGGAGATCGACGGGAACAGGAACAGCCGGAGGCGGGGGGAGCGTGCCGAGCCGCCGCCTATGGAGGATGCCAGGGCAGCGGTGGCAGCAGAGATGCGATCGAGCTCTTCGATCATGTTCTCGAGGTCCTCGTCGGTGGTGACCGAGATGAGGGAGTCGAGGTCCTCGTTGGGGAGCTGGTACTTGAGGGAGAAAGGGCGGCCGCCGAGGAGGTCGCGGGAGAGCTTGGCGGACAGGTCGGCGAGGGAGGAGTGGCGGTCGACGATGACCATGCGGGTCTCGCCTCCGAGGTAGCAGAGGGAGTTGTCGGTGGGGCGGGGGACGATGCGGCCGCCGTAGCTGCACATCACGCGGAGGCGCGACGAGGCCGCAGCTGAAGAAGTGAATGGCTCGTCCCACGAGTCGCCGCCGCGGGAACGGGGAGAGGAGTCGACGGAGTCCGGGTAGCCGTGACCGGAGCCGCCGACCGAGACGGCAGCCAACGCCGCCGTCGATTCCATGATCGGAGCGGGGGAGGGATCGCCCGGCCCCGATCGAATCGAGGGATACGGGAAGAAAGGGGGTTTGGACTGCGGACAAGAATGGGGGTTTTTATGGTTTATTTCTCTCAAGCTTTCATTTATTTGTAGTTTTATTTATTTATTTATAATTTATTCATATATATATACACATATATATCCTTTATATTCCATTGAATTTAATAGTAATTGCACCTTCATATTGCAATTTCTCGAGGTTCTTAAAATATGTTTTTTGGATTATGAAGCTCGGTGACATAAGACATAATCCGAGATTAATATTCTTTTTTAATTATTATACAAAGTAATTTATAATTCATGAAAAATACTTGCTGTAATTGGGAGCAAAAAGGCCACGAAAAACCACCAATACAGAGTGAGACAGGTCACCGGTGGCATGTTTCTCGTAAAGATATGCAGACATCTCAATCAACAAATAGGAAATTTAGATTTCAGCTTCCCTTTCCTTTCCTTTCCTCGTGGAAACGGACAACGGTGGAAGCCAACCTAATATTTTGGGCGTCAACCTTTTGACGCGGAAGGAGATATAATGATTTATAAGTTGGTCGAATCGATCTTGCTCGACCCCTTCACTTTGAACGGGTCTCCTCTTATGCTCCGTGTGAGATTCGGAACAACGTGAGCAATCTCAAGTACAAAAACGTATAAAGCACATAATTCTGTAAACAATTCCAACTTTTTCTTGAAATTGATGGTTTATAACTCGATACGATGTGACAGTGTTGTTAATAACGAGATGAAGGGAACGGTCGATATGTCAAAAAGGAATAGCTTGATGTTATTCATGTTTTTTTGGGATGCGGTCTGATGGATAAAGAATGATATACACGTTTCAACACCATCCACGTTATACCAGGAATCATGACAGGACCGACAAGGGACCTTCGGACTAACACGACATGATACCTTGGACCCGAATGAATCGACCACATGACATCCGCGTTATTCGACACCCCGACGTCGAACACTATAGACCCATTCCGAAAAGCTTGAAACGATGCCAAACGATGGGGACTCGTACAGGTCGATCGACGCTCATCCACATGATACAAAGCCACCCTGGTCGACGCCATACAAGTCGGCAATGCCGCACGGTAGGGACTTGTATGGGTCGATCGGCACTCATCCGCAGGATACAGTCCATCATACTCGACATCGTACAAGTTAACTCCAAACACCATAGAGCCATTCCGTGAAGCTCGGAACGGTGCCGCACCCCTATGGGTCAGTCAGCGCTCATCCATAAGGTAAAAGCCATCCTCTCGAGGAGTTGACAGGCATTAAAGGACTGTGTACAACCAATCACCCCTTCGCATGTATAAAAGCCAACCCCTAACCAATGCAGGGGGACTTCGAGCAATTAATTCTCCCTTTTTCCGCTCAACTCTAATTTAACCTTCGAACGAGTCAAGTCAGAAAATCTCTCTCTCAATCTCAACCTGTGTGGAGGAGCTCAGCAACAAAGAAGTAGGTCACTCGCTAAGAAAGAAGATCGTACTCAGGAGGTGAGGTTCGCTTCTATCACTCGAGCATCCGCATGGGCAACCTTGCCCGTTCGGACCGAACCATACGGACACTTTAACCATGATGTAAAAAGATTTTTTTTTTTATAAATTAAAAATTATTATCAATAAAAAAATTATTGTCAATTAAAAAAAATTATTGTCAATCACAACGGTTCACCAAAACTGTACAAGATTAATTGTTTACACCCATCTTATACAACACATGTGCGAGTTCAACGCACGCCATCGTAGTGTCGGTCTTTCTCTAAGCAAGCTTTGCTTAATTTATCTCATCGTGTCCTCCTCGTCCCTCTCTCACTGTTGCGTCCAGTTGCCTTCATTATTGCTGCTACGAAGTACGTGGACCTTCTCCCTGGGATTAGGATTCTTTGAGGTAAGGGGAGTTTTCTGTTTCGGGCTTCTCCTAGCCATTAAAACGTCTAGGATGGAGATCCAAGGGTTGAATCCACAATGGTACATGGATGTACAGTACTCTCACACAGGCCGAGGGGCAGAGGGATGCACGATAGCACGTATGCTGCTGGCCTCTGAAGTGGTGCTGTGTCCGGAGACGACGAAGGAAAATGACCATCGCCACGGCTATCACGAGGAGTCCAGTCAAACCTCCATTAATGTGTACCTCATGGTTGTCATAACCCGGGCACGCTCCTACACGTTAGTCTACAGCCATCGCCTCACGAGTTCGCTCTCGAAGTGTCAGTATCGTACGCTCATGGAAAGAAGCTACGGGTTAGCAGTTCTTTGTATAAGAATTCCGATATGTTTAAGCAGACACTTGAATTAGTTTTCATGTGATTGACAAGAAGATCTCAAGAAAAAGGGCAAAAAGAGGGGAAAAATAACTCCGAGTTCTTCTTTTAGTTTGCTTACCGTCAAGAGGAAGAAGAGGTGACGACGACCGGTCGCTGAGGGGACGAAAGATATGGTCTGGGTGGCATCTCCATGTCGCCGACTCTTCCTTCCAACATTTCCACGACTCTGCTCATGGAAGGCCGACTCGGTGGCATTGTTTGTATGCACCACAAACCGACCATTATCATCCTCCTCGCAATTTCCTCCGTCTCAGCCGTCACATCGTAGGCTTCAAGACTTCCATCTCGATCCAGATGTTCGTAGACCCAATGCGGAAAGTATATCTCGCTGGTCCTGTCTGCCCATGCATTCACATTCCTTCTTCCTCCGACCATTTCCAGGACCATCATCCCGTAACTGTAGACGTCGGATTTAGTCGACGCCATCCCGAAGGTCCTCGAGAAGACTTCCGGTGCAATGTAACCTATGGTTCCTCTTGCGTCTGCCATGGAGAGGATGCTTTCTTTGGGAGGGCACAGTTTGGCTAATCCAAAGTCGGATATCTTGGGACAGAAGTCCTGGTCCAGGAGGATGTTGTGGGGCTTTATGTCGAAGTGGACTATGCGAGTGTTGCAGCCGCGATGCAGATACTCCAGCCCTCGGGCGATGCCGACGGCGATCTGGTACAGTCTGTCCCATGGAAGCGATGCCTTCGGCTCGTCAGAGTAGATGTACTTGTCCAGTGACCCATTGGGCATGAATTCATAGACCAGAGCTCGTTTGTGACCGTCGAGGCAGAAGCCGAGTAGACTCACGACGTTGACATGGGAAGTCCTACCGATGCTGGCAACTTCGTTTATAAACTCTGCTCCATTTTCTGTGGATTTGCTCAGGATCTTCACAGCCACCGAACGCCCATCTTGAAGGGTTCCCTTGAACACACTTCCATATCCACCTTTCCCAAGTTTTTCTTTGAAAGATTTGGTCATCTTCTTCAATTCCGAGTACTTGTATCTTTTAGGGGCCAAGGATCCATAATCATTCAGAAAGTCTTCGATCATTACTACATTTGTCGGTTTGTTCCAATAGATGATAGAGTCTGTGTAACGCGTTCGCGTACATAGAAATAATGCGACGCAGACCAAAACGAAGCCCACCGCTCCTGCCACTGAACCTGAAACGTAAAGAAGTGTAAGGTTGCAAGAGAAATTGTCATTACAACAAAAAAGATTGTGATTTCAAATGAACGAAGAATTTAATGAAGACAGGATTTGCTCTCAGGACAACGTCTCTTTTGACTATGTTTAAGAAGTCCCGAAACCATGGGAGCCATGTCAGATGATATAATTCGTGAAAGCTGACTAACTGCACGAAGGAGCATCTAAGACGAGTGAGGAGATTGGGTGGTAAGTGTCTCACCGATTATAATAAGCTTCTTGATGTGAGATCCTGCGACAACGACGACGACCGAGAATAGAGTTAGTGCAGAGCTTAAAACGAACAATTTAATGTTATCAGACGGCATTCATACATACACATTAACATGTTCTATATCAAATCAAAAAATACGGAGCTGTTATAGATCTTTTATGTGCGAAGATAGAGGGGGTTCAATCGTGTGATGCTTCCCCCTTTCTCTTCCTGCTAAAGCTCAATTAAATCCATATGCAGAATTACTCTGGAACATGTCGTGTTTTGAAGCTGAGGCATTGCAACAGCGAGGGGTACTGAACCAAAAGT